AGAACTGGGCTTAAGTTGAACGCCCCCCTCAAATCCCTTTTGATTGTCTAAAAACTCTTGTCGTCGCTCCTGTTTTTGTTCTCCTTTTTCTCCCCTTCCGGTCTTTTTTTTTTTTGCTTTTCGTTGCTCCTTTACGCAACACGTTTTGGGCAGGGCAATCACCCTGACGTGCAGGAGCACTACACCCTGGTATACTCTCCGTCACAAAAACCTGCAAACAGCTCCTGCTGCTTTGCCGTTAGCGGCGGCAACGGGTGGTGGGGGCTCTCCGGATAGCGGTCAAAGTAGCGCGTATCCCCGTCCTTCGTCGGACGCACAGGAATGGGTGGGACTACCTTTTTCTGCAGCAGCACCTCCCAATCTACCCCGCTGTAAAACTTATGTCTTTTGACATCTTGGGTACCGCGATTCAGCGAGCCAAGACGCTTTGTGGGGTCAAGCACCAATAGGCTTTTGATAAGATCCTTCGCCCGCAGCTCCACCCAACGCGGAAACTGCACCTTGCCCTCCAGGATTTTTTCATAAATTTTAAAGGGGCTCTCGTCAAAAAAGGGCGGATAGCCAACCAGCATTTCATACAATAAAATGCCAAGCGCCCACCAATCCACAGCTTTATCATGACCTCTGCTTTGAATCACTTCCGGAGCGAGATACTCAGGGGTGCCGCACAGCGTAAAGGTGCGTTCTCTGACACGCTTAGCAAAGCCAAAGTCGGTAATTTTAATGTTTCCTTGTCCATCCAACAACAGATTCTCCGGCTTGAGGTCGCGGTACACGATGCTGCAGTTGTGAAGGTACTCAAATGCTAAAATCACCTCTGCGGAGTAAAACTTTGCCACATCATTGGGAAATTTTCCCGCCTTTCGGAGATGCGTGAAAAGTTCACCACCCACCACGTACTCAAGAAGAATATACAAACGGTCATTGTCCATAAAGCCCTTGAGCATGTTTACAATAAAAGGATGACTGAGCTCTTGTAGTATGCTCGACTCTGCCAAAATGTGCTCCACCTGCTTCATACGCAGTACCTCCTGTTTTTTGAGTATTTTTAGCGCCATGTATCTCCCAGATAACTTGTGCCTACAAAGGCGAACACGACCAAAGGTACCTGTGCCTATCGTTTCGCCCAATTCTAAATCGTGTAGTTTCCATCCACTCACATCCTCCCTTCTAACCTCCGCGCTGGATATCGTCATCGCCCCTCCGTCTTGCCACCCCCTATCCACAGGGTCAAACACACACACACACACAATAAATGGTATATACAAGTATATAGAAGAATCTATGTAATTAGTAGTAGAAACCAATTTATCTCGCCTATCAACCAGAACAGACCCAGGAAAATGGGGGAAAACCAGCCTTTGGCCTGTATTTTCAAAATCCTGTTGAAGTTTAGATTAACTCCCTCTCTACCGTTTTTTTTTTTCGCTTTTACTCCCTGTGGATCTGGTGTGCGTAATGGATTGTCGTCAATAAGCGAGCTTCCTAGAAGCTACCAATTAACAGCGGCAAGAAAAGGTATATATGGGGAGAAAGAAAGAGAGAGAGAGAGAGAGAGAGAGAGAGAGAGAGAGAGAGAGAGAGAGAGAGAGAGAGAGAGAGAGAGAGAGAGAGAGAGAGAGAGAGAGAGAGAGAGAGAGAGAGAGAGAGAGAGAGAGAGAGAGAGAGAGAGAGAGAGAGAGAGAA